TGGTTTCAATTGTGCCATGTCATCATAGGAGATGCACAGATGCTGAAATGGGAGCCTGCTCATGTAACATAATCTGTATAACCTGTACCATGTATCTGCTCAATACAGACCTTTTTGGAAGAGTGAACAGCAATCTTTGCCACAGCTATATTAATACTGCCCACTGCCTCTGTCTTTTTTTAATTATTTTTACAGTACAATATGAAATCTTTCTTGCACCTACAAGCTTTAAATACTTTTTTTTACATTGATAATACCAAAACTGGAGGCTTTGTAAGATCCTGGCTCTGTAATAAATTAAGATTGAGCAATAGCTTTCAAAAGTCTTTAAGAAGGTCTTTAAATTAATATCTTTAGATATTGAAGTGGATAGGAAAAAGGAAAGCTATATATCTATCCTAGCGCCATAGATTCTCCTGCTTTGGCTTTATTGATGAGATATTTCAGTTATTCTTATTGAATTAATATTAATGACAAATCAGTGCAACGGGCTTTAAATTTTGTAAAGCCAGAAACTTGAGTAAGTAGAAATAAATGCTTTTATTTGGCCTTTCAAACTGACTGTATTAAAAATATGCCCTCATGAAGGCATAAATTTCAACCTCTTTAAAGTGTGCCAACAAACAAATTCCTCATAATTAGATATTTAACAAACATGAGCAAAAGTATTTATAAAGACAAACAAACTTGAATGGCAACACCCTATATCTAAGTTTTTGCCTAGTTACATGGAGGTGACATCATACTGAACTTCAAAGTGATTTTTCTGTTGTCTCTAGGGGTAGATAAGTACCCTGCTTCCACTTTTGTTTTTGAAAATCTCATACCTTGTAATTCTTTCTCTTGCAAGCTTTGGGGAAAAAAAGTCATAAAATGGCTATATGAAGCCAGGAAATCTTTTGTTTTCTTCTCAGTTTTCCTCAAAGCATTAAACTTTGGAAGTCTTTGGACTTCCAAATAGTTATGTGCTGAAAAGGTCTTGCCTAACTTGTGAGCTAAAGCTCTTTTGACTGTTCAGCCAGACACATTGATTTTGAGCTGACAAACTTGATAAGCAAAGTTCACAACTGCATATAATTTTTATTAAAAACAATAGCAAATTCTTAAGAACAAAAAGCAAACTGCAATGCAAAAAGGAACATATATGATTTCTGGACAAAGTAACACGTCTGAAAATATCACTGGATGATATGCAAGTTGTCTAGAATTCATTACTGTATTTTTTGTTGTGGCATTTTCTTCTTTTATGTAAGGATTTTCAAGCTAGTCCTTTGAACATCTAAAAACACGAAGTTATTGATCACAGTAAAGTAAGCATGTAAGTTATCTCTGGTTGGTAGACTGGAAAATGAGGGTTAGGGAAGCAAGGGTGTTGCCAGACAGTTTAATAAAAAGAATATCAAGAATCTTCATTTAATTCCTCTGTGCTAGCAAGCTGAAAATACTCACATACACAAGTAAATACTGGGACTGGTTCATGTGAAGCAATTTCCTTCTGTTCTCTTTCATAAAATTATTTCTTCCTCCTCCGGGGAAACAATACAAGGCCAGAAAAAGAAAAATCTGCACATGGAGTACATACACATAGTCTCTCACAGGTAAATGTATCTGAGAGGAAAAAATATCCTAAAGTTAAAGAAGTCACCTAGAAAGAAAGCTCTTACCTTAGTTGATAATATTTGCAATCAAATTATGAACATGCTTTACTATGAAAAATTCAGTGATTCTTTCTAATAGTATTATTTATGCCTTTGGTATCTACTCCTCTCATATGGAAATTAGTCTAAGATCTCATTCTGTATTACTCTGACAACTTACAGTATCACGGATTACTGTAAAAGATGAGAGAATTTTGAATGATGAACCATCCTGTTTAGTTATCAATTTGCAAAACTCGAAGCTGAGGTTGCTTCTAAGTAGTTTTTTTTGTAACATGTTTATGAAACCAGAGAGTGATTAAAAATATAAGAAAGTGTTATGCTTTCAGGTCTTGAAAAACATATTTCCACGGAAACCACTGATAAACAAAAGAGCTGCATTTTTGTACAGCCTTTTAACAAAACATCATACATGATTTAAACACAGACCAACCATAGGATTATATTTGGTTTTCGCCTGGTTACCTTTAATAAAATTCTACTGAAATGTTAACATATGATTTAAAAATACACATTTCCACAAAATTTAGAAAAAAAAGAAGTTTTAAAATGCAGCTACATTTTTCACTAATTTGCAGTATACATCTATTTGTTCCGAAATAGGAAAATTAATTCTTAATTCTCTGGGTTTTAACAAAAGGAAAAGCCCATGATATTTGCTTGCTTAACTTCTTTAAAGTCAGTGGAGTTAATGTCGGGAAAAGCTGGATTGGGCCCTACTAGTTAGTTTTACTTCTGAAGCACTGATTCAATTTATGAAAGATAAAAATCATACACACAAGCTGCTCAGATTTATAAAAGACAAAAATCATACACACCAGCTATAGGAATAATGTAGAGATATATTTGCTATTTTCTGTTTTATGGGTGCTAAAGTATCTTTGAATAGCAAAGCAAATTACTTAAATTATATTTTAACAGTACTACCTACATTTTAACACCCTAAGTCCTTTGTATCTGTTCAAGATACTAAGTATTGCTGAACAATTATACACATACCATGTGCTTTGTTAAGGAAAATCAGCAAGGAAAGAAAATCTACAGATACACCACTTTTCCCTCAGGAAAAAAGTCTTAGGCTGAGCTTAGTTTAATTATTTTGAGATATGTGATCAATCAACATAGTGACTGCAGCACAGCATACCGATACACAGGAATTCTGTGCATCATGCTGTACGATGTATGTTAAAGACTCGAGGATACAGGGGCAGTTATACAGGCTTGTCAGAAGCATTTTCAGACACTTACTGTGCACACATACTAATTTTTCTAAACGCCGTATTCAAAGTAGTTTCACTGATGCTGTATCACTCACTGACAGCCTTTACCTTTCTGCTAAATGAAGGCTAATGCCAGAGGCCATTGGGATACAGAAGCAGTTAACAACTATGATATCAATAACTGTTTAAACATGTAATCATGAAAATGGAGAGTGGGCTAGAAGCTGACATGTTCCTGGGTACTGGGTAGTTGATGGGTTCATATGAATTATGATGTAACAAAAATCTCACTTACTGTTCACTAAAGCAGTATGTTGCTTTGCTCAAGGAATTAATTTACATCCAGAGTCCTCAGGATTTATGTCTTTGTATTGTTTATAAACTACTAAGATACAGCCACCTACAGCTTGCTTGCTACGTAAAGTATATCTTCATGTTATTAAGTCTTCCTAGGAGGGTTTTTCTTTTTTAATTATTAATAGTTTGTCTTCTTTTCACAGGTTTGTATGTGTCAAAGAAAAACACAAGTATTGTAGTCCTGCAAGGACATTTTATATACTAAATTACATTCAGACTCTGCTATTAAAAGGTATTTTAAGTTGTATAGACCGACCTCTTCCTCTTTCCCTGTGATACTTCTCAAAAGGAGAACAAAAGAGGGGGGGGGAATGGACTCTTCTTACAAATGAGGCTGAGGAGATTCTTCATGGGGGAAAAAAAAGTGTTATTTATCCCGCTTCCTGTAATGGCAGTGATTTCCACATGCCTGTGTGTGTTGGAGAAAAAAGACTAAGGAAACACTGGATGTGCCCATGCCTATTAAAAGAACTAAGTCCAAAGATGGCAAAAAAATCAGAATTGCTGGGATTCTTTTAACAAAATAAATGGGAAAAAAAGTTTGGTTTATGGTGCCTATTATACCTGCGCTATGTACTTGGCTGATGTACTTTGTACCCTGCTACCTGTTCTACAGATGTCAACATACTGAAAGCAAGACTGCAAAGACCACGGGGACACAATTTTTAAAGCTTTTAATAGTAAAGCTTTGAAAATCGTTGCTAAAAAACAAAATAAAACAAACACACCCCCCTCCAAACCAAAAACATACTCCAAAATTAAAAAAAAAACTCAAACACAAGCGGTTTGAGTGTTTTCAACTCCGTCTCTTCAGTCGCTTCTGAGAAGAAGAGCAGAAATTTCGAGCAGGTTGCGTGCTGCGATCGGTGAAGATCAACCCGGAACGGCTTTCCACGCTAAAGAAAAGGATTTTCCATCAGGAATCCAACCAACGAACCAACCAACCCGATGCCACGGCACCGCCAAGCCCCCCGCGGGACATGCCCGCCCTGCACCGCCGGGCGCCGCCGCTGGGGGGAGGCGGGGCGCTTCCGAACGGCGCCGATCTCGGCGCGGCGAGGGAGGGAGCGAGCGCAGGGAGGGGGCCTCCGCATAGGATGGGATGGGACGGGACGGGAGTCGCGCTGGCTGCTGTCACCCCGGCAACAGCGGCGGGCAGGACTGGCGGGAGCGCCCGGGGGAGGCCCCGTCCCGCCCGGCACCGCCCCGCCCGCGGGAGCAGCTCACCTGCCCGCGGGGATGCGAGGATGCATTGGCGGTGGAGCGTCCACCATCCGCCTGCTCCCGCCGCCAGTGGTGTCCGGGCTGCGGTGTCTGCACAGCAGCGGAGCCCCTTCCCCTCCGCCGGCTCCCGCAGTGCTGCGGTGTGCGGGGGACCGCGGGGAAGGAGTTTTTCTGTTTCGGCGGAATTACTCGGCACACTGCTTTTTTTCTCGCGGCGGGCGGAAACTCGTCCGTGCGCTGCTCCCGCGCATAAGCCTGTCGCAGCATCCGGCGTTGAAACGGTTACCTTTAGCAGTAAGGCTGCACAGGAACCACTCCGATGTCTTAGTAATTCAATTAGTCAGGTTTCCAGAAGGTGGGGTTGGGTATTTTTTTGGCATGGAGGAGGAGAAGCCCGGGACGACACCTTCCTTCTCGTGTTGCAAGCCAATCAGGTCGAGGTGTAAAAAAAAAAAAAAAAAAAAAGATGATTAAAAAAAGCAAAAAAAAAAGCAGCAATCTGTAAGCAAACAGCAGGCTGTGCTCTGACTGGCTGCGCCGGCAAATCCCCCCCCTTCCCAAGTAAACTGCATGCAAAAATCCCACATGATCAAGCGGCAGCAGCCGTGCTCCGAGCTGGCTGCCTGCACCTCCTCCTCGCCTTCATCCCTCACGCACACCGGCGCCAGATCCCGCCTCGGACACACGCGTGTGCATGTACGTACGTATGTGTATGTGTGTGTGCGTGCGTACCTCGCTATACCGCGTATATATCTCTGCGGCTGCCTGTCGCACACACGCATGCACAGAGACAGCTCAGCGCGCCAAGCTCCTAGCTTTTCCAGGTTGCTGATGTCGGATTTACACGCAGTGAAGGGACCGGTCATTGCAAAAGGGGGCGTGACTGTTTAAAGATTTTTTTCCTCCCATAAAGCAATTTTTTTTCAAAACTGACTTTTGCCCCTCCAATCCTCGTCGCTCTGTACGATCCCTCCCTGCCTGCCGCTGCATTCAAGTTTATTTATTTGCCTGCTGGCGTGGTATATTTTTCCTTGCTGCTCTTGCTGCTGCTTCGGAGGGAAAAGGGGAGCAGCTGTTGGGCAAGATCGAGAAGATCTGGGGTGGTTGTGTTTTTTTTTAAGATCTCCTTATGTAGTCATCTGAGGGGTGGATTCTTTTTCTCTCACCCCCTCCGTGCTCTTTCAAACTGTTTTGTCCTTCCGCAGAAGTTGATGTTCACGGGACTGGACCCTGATTTATCGCAGAGAGGCTCCGAGAGGCTGAAAGAGATTTCCGCACCTCGCCGTATCGCTCCATTCGTTCCCCGAGCAGGAGAGGCCAGCCAAGACCAGCATCATCAGAGGAGTTTGCAGGCTTGATTTTCCACTTCTCCGAGGTTTTGCTTTTCTCCACGCCCTCTCATACAACAATTTTTTTTTTTACTTCCATCTCTTTGGTTTCCACGCCGCAATATTTCTTGGATTGGCCATTCTTTTTTTTTTCTGACCCCCCCTTTTTTTTTCTTGCCCTTTTTTTTTTCCCCGCCTTTGCTGTTGCTAGTCCTTGGTGCATCCACCGCCCAGGAACAGGAAGGACAAGAAAACCACTCCACAAAGTCTCCTTCAAGACACTGTGCTGCAGAACAGGCTCCTCAACTCCATCAGCGGAGCGAGCAAACTCCTCAGGGGTTTTGCTCCCCCCCCCTTTTCTCTCCTCCACCTCCCTATTTTTTTCCCTGTTTTTGTTTGTTTCTCATTTGCGGGGAGCGGAGGGCCAGGAAGGAAGACACAAACTTTGTACTTTGAGATCTGCGGGTACTTCTCGTCCCGCTCCCAGCCGGCCGCCTTTAATACGTTGCCAGGACCCCCCGTGGGCTTCCAGAGCGAAAGATCTCCTTCCTCTCCTCCTCCTGTCCGCTCTTCTCCGCCGTTTTTCAGCTCGCTTGCTCCCTCCACCCCCGCGAAGCCCGAGCCGCGGGTCGGGGCCGCTCGCAGTCGCGGAGGAGCGGCCGCCCCTCGACCGCCCGCCGCGCCGGCGGGCCGGTGTATGTCGTGCCGTTGGCTCCGTGCGGGACTCCCGGTGAATGAGCACCGCCCGCCGCCTGCCGCCGACACCCGCCTCGGCCCCCGCCACCCCGTGCCGGGATAAGGCTCCCTGAGGGGCCGCGGATCGCCCTCGCCCGCTGGCTTCGCGACTGCGGCGCCAGGCGCCCTCAGCTCGCTGCTGCGGTGCGGCTCGCCGCGGAACCCACCGCCTGCGCGCCTTGTTTCTTATTTATTTACCCCGACCCGGTCCTGCCTGCGCCCCCGTCTCCTTCTTTTCTTTTTCTTTTATTCTTTTTTTTTCTCCTTTCTTCCCCCCTTTTTTAATTTTTTTCCCCCGCATCTCGCATCGCTGCGCTGCCGGTCGGGCGGAGATGCCGCACGTGGAGATGCTGCTGCTGGCGGCCGCGGCGCTGTGGGTGTGCGTGCGCGGACAGGAACCCGGCGCCAAGGCGGTGGCCGACCGCTACGCTGTCTACTGGAACAGCTCCAATCCCAGGTACGCAGGGCGGCCGCGGGCGCGCACTGCTGCGGGGGGGGGTCTGTCGGCGGGCGGGCGCTGGAGACTCTTGCCCAGAAACCGCAGGAACTAACCCCGGCTGGAGAATGGCGTGGAAAACTTTATTTTAATGGAGGTTCAGGTCTGCAGGGTAGCGGCGATGGGGAGGGTGGCGGGAGTGGTTTTCTCTTATTGCCCCCCTTTCCTTCCTAGGAGGCCGCACCAGACTTCCCCGGGGTCGGTCGACGCCGGCCCGCGGGAGTCGGGCGGATGCTCCCCCAAAGCGGTGTGGGTGCTCCTCTCTGCGGGACAGCTTCGTGCCTGTTGCCGAGCCCGCTCCGGGGGCTTGGATGGGATGAGAGGGCGCAGGTAGCGGCCCCTCGAAGCTGCCCCGGCGGGCTACGGTAGCGGGGATGCGGCCCCGGGCAGCGCGGCGGGGCTCTGCCTCCACGCTCCCCAGCTCCGCAGCACCCCGGGCGGGAGGGTTGTCAGGAGCGGCTTTGCCCGGCCCTGCCCTGCCCTGCCCGCCCGGCGGAGGGCTCTCTCGGGCAGGCTGAAGGTGAGGAGGCGAGGTAGGTTTGCCCTGCCGGGCCAGGGGTCTGTGTCCGGAGCATCTTCGCTGTCCCCGCCGTCGGGGCCGAGCGGTGCTGGCACAGTCGCCCCGCTCCCTTCGCGCCGAGGGTTTCTGGCACCAGGCTTTGCGTGTGCCGTTCAGCACTGGAAAGGGAAGTTTCATTTATAATTTTTTTCTGCAGTTTTCCCTCATGTTTAGCATCAGCAAATTTCAATTGCAGCCCTGCTCCAAATGGTGTCCATGTATTTAGGTATAAAGTCACCTGGGTATTGAATTCTTTTGCCTTGTTAAGGTGCCTATGAGCAGACTTACTTTTTTGTTTGTTTGTGGGTTTGTTGGTTTTTTGTTTTGTTTTGTTTGGGGTTTTTTTTGGTGTGGGTTTTTTTTGTGTGGGTTTTTTTTTGTTGTTGTTTTTTGGGTTTTTTTTGTAAACCTGTCAAGCTAAGTAAATTTGGGGACGTTTTATCTTAGGTTATCTCTTTTTTATGCTTCTGATACCGCAGTTTGGCTTGAGATTAGCACATTGATTTTTGTCACAGGTCATGTTTTTTAATAGATCTGTGTCGCCTGCAGAAAACTCCCCTACTCAGTATTCCAGAGCAGATTCGAAATAGGTGATGCAGAGGTTAACAGGCAGAATTTTCAAGTGCCCAGAGTTAACTGGTCTGTCCAGCACTGTGTTCCTGGTCACACCACCTCAGTGATAAATGGTCAGCACAAAAAGCTTGAAGCAGAGAGGATTTATCCACAGAAACAATCATGCCTAGGAATGATGAGCATGTATGAGTTTAAATGCCTGTTTCTACGTTTTCCTCTTTTTTATGTGTGTTACTTGAAAAAAATTGCTCAGAGTAAATAAGATTAAAAGTTACACCTCACATCACACATCAAAGAACATATGTCCCAAAAAATTGTTTGTCTCTCAAAATCAGAGGTTTTTTTCTGTTGTAGTTAGGCAAAATGAAATGTAACTGCTGGTAAAAAAATAAAGTAATATTCTCAAATCCCACTGGGCAAAATGAGGATTGTTGAAAGAAGTAGGTTTGACTGAATGCACACATTACTGGTATAACAGCTAAAATACTTCAAAAATAGTCTTACATTCAAGATTTTTCACTTCTTGTTGTCATATGTTTGATGAACTTGTACAGTAACTGTACATAAGTAAAGAGAGTTGAAGGTACAAGCAACGCTTACCTAGTCAGTAGGTATTACTCATTGAGTTGGATTTGTAACGCTTCTAGTAAGTTTATCATATTTTATTACTGATAATGGAATGTCTTATTAAGCCAACATTAAACATCAGCAGACTGCAAAGGAAACTTAGTTTTGTTATTCTTCTAAACACTAGAGGAAGAGTTAATTTTAAGACGTTTCTAAACCTTCCGTTTTAAAAACAAACATTTCTTCTCTTAAAATATTCACTGCTCTTTCACAATGGATATATCTATTTGGTCATGTCATGTTTGTTCGTGAATTAAAAATATGAGAAAGAGCAGGGTGCAGTTGTTTTATACAACTTGCCAGTTTTTATGGGCTTTCCAAGTAATATGATAATTACAGAAAAACAGGCAAACACCTGAATGGTAGGTGGAAGAGACCCAAAGAAAAGAAAGCACTTCTCTTTTGAGTTTGTTTAGTTAGAATCTAAGCTGAAGGCAGAATTGTCTTTGGTTATGAAAATTTTTAGAGCAATTAACAATGTTGCAGGAATAACTTTACAGTGATTTATCTGCATCCAGAGGCAGACTCAAGAGATGTACTCATGCAGAAGTAAGTAGGGATGCTTACTTGGTGATAACTATTTGAAATTAGTAGACAAAATATACTGTTGTTCTTTAAACAGAGATACCACCATTGTGATTTAACTTAGTTCTTTTTGTATTTATTCAGAATTAATAAACTGCTGTAGAACTAATTAATTCCCTTTAAAAAATGAAACATTGATTATCTTGCTAGTGATTAAAGGCATTCTAAAGTAACATTTCACCTAAACTTTGAAGAATTTAATAATAATTGTTCTTCCAATTTGATGATGTTTCGTTCTTTAGTATGAAAGTCCAGCAGTTTACTGAAATACGTTAAGATTTCATCCTCATTGAAAAACACATTAGTAAATTGTTGAATGCTCAATTGATAAGTGCTCCTGCTGTGAACAATATTTGGTAAATAAAATACCTGAGGAGTCTATTAGCAAAATTCATATTACATTGCTTGGTTAGTTGCCAAAGTTCTGCTAGAACAATTAGAAAATGTTGTTTGTTCACTGTTGTTAGCATGTATGTGTGACAGAGTTGTGTATTCTTATAGAGTCTAAGTCCCTTATTAGAAATGATTAAAGTATTCCTATTCTTTACTCTTCTTATGTGTTTAATTATCAGCATACATGAAGCACCATAAATGCTGTAGTCTAGTTCCAAGTAAGAATATGTTCAGGTATTAGGATTCTGAAGTATAAATAAAATAACTTCTTTTAATCATTTTTTTAATTGGAAATTAATCCTTAAATAAGCTCAAAAATATGTTTTATTTGTTTATTTGTGTAGGCTTAGAATTAAATGTACACCAATTCTAATTGTCACCTTGAAGTGCATTAGTCTTCAGCACTGTTTGCATATATGTTCTTATGCAGGACAACAAACTGTTGTCATCAGAGAATATTATTCTGAATACAACCCTCTGTTTTGGAATATTAATTTAATCCTGAGTACTGGTGTCCTTGTAATTAGAATTCAGACTGAATGTCATGTACCTGGGCAATATTTTGAAGTGGTCTACTTGCGTGTCTGGTGCTTGCTATTGTTTTTAATCTTGTCAGAGTTCAAGCTGAACGACTTGTTATAATTAATGATACATTTTTCTGCTTGCAGGAGTGTGCTTTAAGGTTGTGGTTTGTATTTAGGTATTTCCCTGTAAGTTGTTTCAGTGTCAGGTTATGTAGCATCATAAATTGTTATTTGTTTCAGGATGGTTAAAAGTACCAACATTTCAAGTCTAGTTTCTGGTTATATATAGAGGTCAAAGCTTGTAGTCTCACAAAAGCAAATATTTTTTTACTAGGAGTATTACTGGGTTTGGCTGTATCTTATACAAGAAAATGGTGTGTAAAATCTGTAAGAGAATTATTATAAAAACTTCAGTTGGTGATTTCCCATAATTAAGCTGGTTACCACAATTTTATCAATATTGCTGGAGGGGTTTTTTTAGGATAGAAACTTGGGAGCAGCAACCAGAAAATTCCATGCATAGGCTAGAATTTCACAACCTGGATGTCTAAACTTAGGTGAATTTTGTAGCTGAGTATTTAGGCACTGTTTCAGAAAAGATCTAACTTCTACGAAGTTAGCTATAGACACACAGTGTATGACTGGATGTGTACTTTAGTGCTTACCTGGACCAGCCAAAGGTACGGACTTAGTTTTGAGAAGCTCTGACTGTGGCACTTCTGGAGCACACTTGCTGGCTGGGTGGATTTCTGAGTATCCTGCCATCCATTTTTATGTGTTCACAGATTTCACCATGTTGTATTGGCTGTATAGGCTGGTTTGGTTTTGTTTGTTTGTTTGGTTTGGTTTTGCTTGTTTGTTTTCCATATAGATACAGTTCTGCCTGTGTACAGGGTTTAGGGAAGCCATGAAGAAATGGTTGGAATAGGAAGAAAGCAGTTACGCATGTTAAGAACAACTAAGAAGCTGGGAATGAATAGAGGCAAAATCAAGGCATTTGCTTTGGTGTTGGTATTCTGTGTATGTTTCTTATGTCAAGGGAATCATAGGAGCTTAAGTACTTGGGATATATACACACATGGCATGCATGCTTATGTATATATATATATATACATATTGTATATATATGTATATTAAAAAACAGTTTTGAAACAGCATAGCTTGTATTTTGAGAGCATTTTATCCAGCAGCTTTCTCTGAGAGCTAAAGAAATTTCTGATTCCCTGTAATTAAAAGATCAGTAGTAGAGCCTTTAATTCTTTACACCTACTTTCTCTGCTTTTAATAGTTTCATTAACACCTTGCATCTCCAAAAGAACATTGGTGTTTATTTTAAAAGTGGGGGTTTGAAACACTTTCAACCTTCTATGGAAAAACTGCATGAAGAACAATAGTTTCACTGGCTTCCACCTTTGTATGAAAGGCACCTTATTAAGTGGTACATGGTCTTCATGAAATGCTTCTTCCTAAATCTTTTCCAAGTGCACACAGTCAGGACACTTTACTGCATTCTTTTTGCTAGCCCCTCTATCCTTTTCGAGAGGGACAGAAAAAGATGAGCCTTCCTTTCTCTCCCCTATTGTTATGATCTCAGCAATCTACCAGTTTCAAGCTGGGCTGGGAAAGGGAGTGAATGCAATTAGTCCTTCAGGAGCTGTGGTCATGGCATTCATATGGAGAGGCATATGTAATGTATACAC